ATTTGCCAGTTGAAGTCGTGCTCGATATCGGCATATCAGGCTGTGGTACAATCCGTGTCCACGGTATAAAACAACTTGGGAATTGTGGCCAGTGGGAGCTAATAAGCAGTTAGACGTTGGCCACAAAACATTCGTTTGCCCGTAAACGGACCCACCTGCTCTTTCTGAAAGAGGAAATGCACGTGTGTGTAGAACGGAGCACGTATCAGTCTTCGGCGCACCGGGTGATCCCGAGTGATTGCGTAAAACTTCACGTGACGAGACAAGCGAAGCGGCGATGGAGCACCATTATGATACGAGAAACTTTAAACAATGTTTCTTAAACTTTCGCAAAATTTTAAACTTGTTCGCTGCACGCAATGGCTGATGCTCTTACGCACAGACAAAGTTGCTACTTCCCATCATGTCATTCCGTGAGGGTCCGGGCTGCATGGTACGTGACCGAGTCATCCAAAGTCGTTCAATGTCCTCTAGTTTCCTCATAAATAACCCTAACCCGCTGTGTCGTGCGGAATTCTTGAACCAGTTGGAGAACGAAACCCGAACAGCAGCGTCTTCGGCTTCGCCCGCGGCGATGTATGCCGGCCAGAGCAGTCGGCAGTAGCTCTGCCCTAGGCCAATGTCGGTGGACTCGACCCGCAGTAGCAGATTGCGAATCGTAAGTACCTTTTCTTGAACTAAGCTTGAGTCGACTTCGTATACTCGCCGATAAAAGAATATTGCCAGAGCCTGCTGCATGGCATCAACCAAGATATCCAGCAAGCCGCGAGTGGTGGCCGCTTCATCGGTTTGACGGCCGGCCAGGCTCGACCAGGTCGGCAAAAGATTCAGGTTGTTGATGCACTGTTCCACCGCCCTCGCCCTGCGCAAAAACTCCCCCAGGCTTATCGCATCGGGGCAGTCTCGTTCGGCGAGCTCCTTTTCCCTTACGAGTCGAATGACGAGCGAAAGAAGAAGGAGCCAGGCCTCTGGTATACCGAAGATTTCCGGGTACAGAGTCGCTGCCCAAAGACCCGGTATTTCTAGATGAAGGTCGTTTTCACCCTCCTCTCTGCCCTTGACTTTGAGCATCTCTTGGTCAAGATTGTTCCAGCTGCCCAAGCGGAATGAGAGGCTATCTTGGCTGAATGAGGCAGCGCCACTCGACTCAACCGCCATGCGCACTTCTAAACGATGCCTTGAAGTTGTACCATCTCTGACGGTGCTCTCGTACAGGACACGCTCGAATGCGTAACAGTGGTGAAGAAGCCGGACCTTGCGAGATTTGCGCCGGTTAAGCCCCTTCAGACGAATAAACCTCTCGGCCTCCAAGAAGAAGAATTCCGTTCTTTCCGGGTTACAGGAGACCAGTGAGATCTGAAGCATGGTCAAAAGTGCAATCAAAGTCGTTTTGTACTTGGCGGCTTTGGGCAGGGCGTATGCTGAATACAGCATGAGCCTGGAGTGTTCTTGAGCCAGTGCCTCGTACTCGATTGCTTTCGTTAACCACCTCTGGGAGCCAGAAACCCCACTAAGGCTCGCAGCGCTGATAGTGAGGATGCCGTAGAAAGCACACAAGCTGGCGTGGTCCAGGTTCTCACGCAAAGTGAGCCCGGCCAGGGTGCTTTTCGCGTGCGGGAGGAACAATATGTGCCAAGGTGTTTTGCTGTGCTTAAACGGAGTGAACAAGGCCAGAACTGTCGTTGAATAATGTTTCAGCAGATATACTGCGTCTTCTGGAAGGGGTACAATGGTTCGAATCCCCGGAGGGATCGACGATGGACCTGGTCTTGGAGGAGGGTTCGAATTGGGGCCTATCATGGGGTCAATAGGAGAGCAATCTGGAAGACACATTGACTCAATGGGCAAGAGTTCTAGTTCGAGCAACGCTGCATCATTGAAAATTGCCTGGATCTGGCCACTATGGTTTATCGCAGGCTCCCAGCAGCTGGTCGACGGTTCCACCAGTGTGGGTTTCTCGCCGTGCTCAGTATATTCGGCCGGAAGTATTGGATGGTCGCCAGTTCCTTCGAAGGCGGTGTCGGCAGGCCCACAAGGTTCGTCGGAAGCAGGCTCATGACTTTCCACTTCCTCAGAGCTAGTGTCTGGCATTGTCGTCACCGTTGTGTGCATTAGCTCGGGCGTGAGGGAACCGACTAATCTGAAGGCACCAAACGGACCGCGGCAAACTTGAAGCTCGGGAGCCGCCGATGCCTCGCATGCGTCATCGATTCCAGTGATATGCCACAGAGCCAAGTGAGGAGGCACACTTGTAGTAAGCCAATCGCACATGCGAGCTCTTTCTTCGTCATCCAAGAACGGGCGCCGAAAACGCACCGCTCCCGTAGTCGTGTTATCTTCGGACGCAAAGACCAAACTCTTGTCGTACCCTGCACAAGAGACCTTGGACAAATGACACATTAGGCATCTGGGCCGACGTTCATCGCATTTCATCCGCCGGCTCCGACACTTTGCTGCAGTCAGCGCGGTGCAACAAAGCAGAAATCTGGCGATGGACATACTGTGGTGCAGCCACCAAAGGAGCGGGTTCGCCGCCCGCTGCGCGCTGTGTTGCTGGGGCTAGAATGGTGCGCCATGGTCCGAGGGGATCGAATCACACGTGATGCCTTACAAAACAACTTTTTGGAAGTGCCAAAGGGGAGCGGTTGTGATTGCAAACGAGCGGCCCTGC